TTTTTAATTAAATGATAGCTGTGTACATTAATGCAATCATGGGGTACAATGTAGTGTTTTCATATACAATTTGAAATATTTTCATCAAACTGGTTAACATAGCCTTCATGTCATTTTCTTACTGTGTTAAGATGTTTATATTCTACTTTTAGAAAGATTCACTTGTACCCTTGTAAGATAAACCATAGATGTAATCCCTTGAATCCCCCTCCCTCCACCCATCCATCCCCCCTTCCTTCCCCTCCCCATCCCCATATTGTTAGGCTATAATTAGGTTATAGAGACATTTCTTACTGAGTAGATGTTACAGGATCTTCTTAAATCCCTCTTAAAAAGAATATAGTCCCTGCATTTCATACATTCATGTAAATATGAACACTCATTTCTTCTTTCAAAGAAGATTTAACTTTAAATGCATTATAAGGAGTAATGGGTTTGAAGTTAAATCTTCTTTGAATATATAATTCGCACATTGAAAAGCAAAAATGAAGACTTTGCTAATCCCAGGTTTATGTGTTGAATATTCCTATTAATCAACGTAGTGCAGAGACAGGTAATATTTTTGCTTTCTTTTGTGAAAAGAATTAGTCACTAAAGAGATCCAGGGTTTTAGGTTTCATCTCATATATTCTGCCACAGCTAAATTAGTGGAAGGGTCATAGGATTTACAAATCATGGAGGATTAATCCTCTGTAGAGCAAAATGCTGCCAATGGTATAGCTGTGGAGTTATGTAGTAATGTCTTCAGGGACCTTAGAACTCCTTATAAGCATTCTCTAGTCACACACTTACTCAGACCCGTTGTGCACACCCAGCTCTGTGGCCACCGTTATCCTGCTGGGGCACCTGGTCCTTGACATTCATGCACTGTGTACGCCATTCTCACCATGCTCCACTGAAATTTGGGAAAGATGCTTGGAAAGCCCAACATTTCTGGCAAAGTGTACTCTTCAAAAAAGTAGATATATATTTTTGCCATGACCTTTAAGTACAACTGATTTTTATTTGAAAGTCACTATTAAACCCCAATATTTTTAATGTGCTTTGATCAGCATTGTAATGAAAGCAAGAAGAGGCCAAATTGGGGATTTTGATCCAGGAATTGTTCTAAATCCTTCAGATGATGTATGTACTAGAATCCTGGCTTTATACTTTCCAGATGAAGAGCAAGCATGATGTACTTTTTAAAGGCAGTTCAGCAAGAGACTCTTCTAAAATGGCTCTGGGTTTTCCAGAAAGATATTCCCTGTGGGATGGCCTGGCTCTAAAAGGTTGGGTTTTGCTATATTTACTTGAAAATACTCCAGTTAAATAAAATGCTACCACATCCTCTCAGTTTCTGAACTATGATCTGAATCAAAGGCAATTCTTTGATGGGGCATTTTTGAATGATTCTTTTCTCATTTTTAGTTCCTACATTCTGGATTATTCACATGACATTCAGCTATATAACTTCTACTCAGGAAGATGATTTTACTAAAATCATCACCATTTTGCCCGTCATGTTTTCTTGCATAAAAACTGACTTTAATACTTAGGTGGATACTATTGTACTTGACAGATTAAAGGGCTTTCTGTTTCTTAAGCCAAATGAGCTCAAGAGTCAGTCAAGTATTTATTCTGGTCCAGTAGAATTCTTTCAAATTCTGTGTGTCTTTTTGACAACATATAATGACCTCAGGTAAGATGTTAGTGTGTCAAGATCCGAATGGTATAGAAAATTCAGTTCCCTTGAAACATATTCTTCCAGTGTATTATTATTAAGAGAAATGCCAGCTTTGCAGTGACAAGAACAGTTTTGCTCTCAAAGAGATCATTAGACTGTGTGATTTACGCTAGATCGATGAAGGGGAGAGCAGTTGGGTTAGGATAATGTTCCCATGCAATTACAAAGAATGAAGTATCATTTTATCTTTTCAGGTTTCCCGAATCTGCAGTTTCTGTTTTGAAGAGCCAGCACTTACGGCAGAAACTCCTTCAGTCTCTGTTTCTTGATAAAGTTTACTGGGAAAGTCAAGGGGGTAGACAAGGAATTGAAAAGCTTATCGATGTAATTGAGCAGAGAGCCAAAATTCTCATCACCTACATCAATGCCCACGGGGCCAAAGTGTTACCCATGAAGGAATGAGAAAAGTATCTCCTGGCTGGAGGCCCGAGTAGATTCATGCGTGTGTGTTTTGTTTTTAAATCAAGCCCGTCATCCTCAAGTCCTTTAAGGAATGAAGCAGAGAAGATGAATATATGAAGTAAATTAACTATGATGGGCCTAAA